GAGGCCTTTGAAGTGTTGGGCTTTGGACGTCTGTCTTCCATCTCCACATTTACTTGCCCTGTCCCAGTCTCACCCTCAGTTCCTTTCTCCGTTTTTCCCCATTTTCCAACCCAAGCCTGTTGGCCGGGTCAATATTTTCCCAGCTTGGGCAACGCACGTGAACGTTTGATGGGAAATCCTCTGGCCGAGGAATGAGGATTCTATGGTCACGTTCACGTCGCTGCCTTCGCTACGGGATTTCGTACCTTTTTCAGACTGGCATAATTTGCCGGCTTGGCCACGTTAAGGTCCGGCCCTGATGGATTGTTTGACTAATTAATTTTGCTAGAAAATTTCACAAAATTGCATTTGGCCCGGGCCAAAGTTATTAAATTTTTAATGGACGCCTAAAGGCCCGAACGCGCTTTATGTGTTTTTATTTGCCTCTACCATCGACCATCTGCTTAGCATTTAAAGTGATTTTCATTTGGTTTTTTTATACCCTTGAATAGGTATTAAAATATTAGTTAGAAGCTGGAAAATCTTGAAAGAGTAATTTCCGACACGATTAAAATATTATTGATCAGCACTTAAAGACGAGTCAAACTAGCCGGTTCAAATTTAAATTTTTTAAATTTTAATTTTACATCATTAAAAGTGTCAAAAAAAATGCAAAAAATTGATTTTTAAGTTTTTAATTTAAAAACTTTGTATGCAGATTTGTTAGCCCTATAAAAACTAACACAGAAGTGCTTTCCAAACTGAAATTAATGCATTTTTGCCTTTGTTGTGATATTTAAAAAACTTTTATTTAACCAAAAATTAGGATATAGAAGTGCCTATTTAAGAAACCTAAAGTGAGTGTTTTCCTGGTAGCATGGAAGTATATGAAGCCAGTGATTTCCAAAATATTTATATACAAATACAAATACAAATTTAATATTATTTCGAATTATATAGAAAAAGTGAAAGAAAAATCTTTCCACGGGGCGTATGCGTAATTTCACAGATTACGTATTCGCCCAGGTGTCCACTGCCGTTTAATTATAATTAACAAATAGATCTAGCATTAGAAAAACAGATTTATTAACAGTATAAAAACTAGCACCGAAATCATTTCCGAATTGAAATCAATCCATTTTTGGCTTAGTAATGGTTTATTGATAATTCAGATTTCGTTGCATTCTCGAAGAGTATTCAAAAATGAGCTATCCGAAGCTAACATTTTTTCTTGTTTCTTAATGCTATTACTTTCTGTTCACTTTGCCTTCTCCTTGCCAGATCCTTTCGCATCCTTAGCTCCTGGCTCTCAATTATTTAGCCATTGACAATTAGAGACTTTCGCAGATGCTGCCGCATCTAATGCGATTTCGCCTCATTATTCTCAGCAATTGTTGCTTTCCACCGATTTTCTTGGTAAATTAAATTTGATTCATTGAATTCCTTTGGTCCCATTAACGCTCACTTCTCTGTGTGGTCAAGTGTCGCCATGAATCGAGTGCAAAATAATCAATGGGATTAAAATAGCAATCTTTTAGTGCATTTCTGAGTGGTTTATAAAGCTTTTAAAGTTTTTCCAAGGCAATCTTAAAATTTATCTGTTCCAGTTATTATTTGCATTTAGTTTCCAGCATTTTTTCCTCCTGCTAAACGATGCAACTAATTTAAATTTTCCATTCCGGACAGTTGGAACATTTTCGGATCCCCAAAGACTTGTCGCATCCGCTTTGATCTCTCGCGAATGCTGTGTTTTCGTTTAATTTCGTCCCGACTCCAATGCAGAGGGGAAATATGGCACAAAATACAAAAAAAAAAGAAGAAAAAAGCGGCTCCGAGGGGAAAAAATTGGATTCAAAGTAACTGAGGACCTGTGGGCCTCTGTGGACAGGCCCTAAAACGCCTCGATTGCGAAAGTCGGTCGTTTGATCTGCGCCCCGGCGCATTGTCACCGTCCGGAGACTAATTAGCGCTTGTGTCATACGAACTGTACTTATGGTACGTACTGTATGGACTGGCTGAGAGGCGATAGGAATGCACATGCGATTAATTAGGCGACAATATGCTCGACTGTCATCTGAGATTTGCGCGGCAATCGAATGGGGAACTCTTTGCAAAATCCCTGGGAGCCTGGAACTTTGCAGAGAGATGTTTTATTTCATTTCGTTTCGTTTGATTTGATTTAATGCGATTCCATTTGTGTCGTTTCCCCGAATTTTCCTTTTCCTAATTCGCAATTGTGTGTGCACAGTACACACACACACACACACACACACACACAGGAGAACAGGAGCACAAAAGTCTGATTGTCTAAACTTAAGTGTGTGTGTGTGCTGCGCTTGATTTTGTTTGCGCAAAAAATTTATTTCCGTTTTTCCTACATTCGAAAGGAGCAATACGAATTTCAGAAGAAATATAACAACTAAAAATTTAAGTTCAATTTTTTGAAATTAAAATGTGTTATGTCAAGGAAAGAATATATATTTTAAACGTATTTTTACAACTTTTTAAGTTTAATATAATATTTTTGGTGTTATTTCTTCACAATTTACGTTAGATAAGATTGTCTAATATTTATTAAGGTTATACTTTTTAAAGCATTCTTTATTACCTTACTTAAAATCAATTATACTTAGCTTTCAATGCATTTTAAAGAATCCTAATTTAATTAAATTTAATATTTTTATTATCATTGTAGGGTATTCAACAAAACGGTCATACTTCTATGCAATTATTTCGTTTTTCTTCTTGGCTGCCAGCGAAATTGTGGCTTGTTTACACGGCGTTGCCAGCGTTTCGTTTCATTCTGCGGTCTGCGCTCTAATTGCGCCTTGGCAATATATCAGAGCAGTCGCTCCTCCTCACCTGCCGCTCACCTGGCACACACACACCCCTAGAACACACACATACACACATTCACGTATGTAGATAGCTCTCCACTTTGGGTGTTTTTGCGCTTTTTGTGCTTTGGTGCTATTCCTTAGCCAGCTGCTGCCGTTTTGCCATTTGCTTACGCGTTAAAGCTGACAGGTAAAATGGATTTGTTACGGCAATAGAACAGGTTACTGGACGGGGGTGACAGGTGGTGGTGTTGGTGGGAGATTAAGGGAAGAGAATGCAAGACAGGTGAGAAGATAACCCACAAGTTGAGGGAATGCAGCTGGGAAAAGAGTAATCCCTGCTTTTTTCTACGTTTGTAGAACAATTTTAGTTGAGCATTATGGTTAAATAATAGGTAACCGAAAACCAAACTACATCTATAAAAATAAGTCATAATAGATATTTCTTTTATTTGTGCAATATAATTGAAATTATCTTACACATTGCAGAGGCACTTTCAGCATTCTGTATGTAATAATGTGATCTTAAAACAATCCCCTATTTGCTATTTGAAATAACTATAAATTCTCAAAGGATTTGTATAATTCCAATAGTGATTTTTTACTCAAAGTTAAGGTCAAAGTTAAGGTTGGCTCTTGGGGATCGCTTTAAGTGTAGAGACATCCGATCCTATTCACTGGCAACACGATTTAGCCTTAAGGCATTTTGGCCATGGCGTGCAGATATTGAAATATTTATCGCTTCCTTTCGCTTCACCATTAATACAGTTCACCGCCAGCAGCAACAAGAGTAAGCAGTTCCAGTTCATTTTAAACTCTGAAGAAAGAATGAAATTGTGCAGCAATTTAAATGAACCAAATTGTAGAAGAATTATTTCCGTTAATAATTGCATTTGTATCGGTTTTACGATTTCCTAAAACATTGCACGCTTTAAGCACAGGTTGAATAAATATATACTTTCAGAAGTGCTTTTGCCTCCTTGCCAACTGATTCTCGTGAATATGTGCAACGAGGACTTGCATTTTATTCCGAGTGATCCTGGCTGGGGTGGCTATGTGCAGAAGAACTTTTCGGCCAAATCGAAAAACACATTTGAATAATGAGAGCGTTGAGAGCTGCTGCAGTTTTGCTGAGTGCTCTGTTGCATTGTTGCCACAGGCTGGAAGCTGGCAAGCTGGCAAGCTGGCAGGCAGCAGCTGCTCCTGTCTGATGTCCTGTCCCCTGACAGCCTTCCACTGTCGGCTGCCGGCCACTGACATTTTGGGATTTCGTACTCAAAATTTTGAGTTCCTCGCCGCATTATGCACGCAGCCCCAACAGCAATGGCCATAATAATGGTAAGCACTAGCCATCGGAGTCGCAAATTTTCGACTTGTGCTAATTGTGCCAGGAGGAGTTTATACCATTTTTGGTATCTGCAATCGTAGAAGTTTGCCGACTGGCAGCTAATTTTTGCCAACTGTCAGCGCTCTCTTCATATAAATCCCTCAAAGTCAACAGAACAGCACAGCACCCACGTGACACATCAGTTCCATTCCATTCCTTGCAAACGTATGTACATGCAGCATATCCAGCATATATCCATCATATTGCAATCGTCAGTTGTGTCGCCGCATGCAACGTCGCTTATCGCTCAGCTCTGTAATGATGGCATCAGACCCCAAAATCCCCCCAAAATATCCCAGTGGCCCAACCCATCCCATTCACCCGAACTTCTGTCGTACATTTTTCATAACGCAATTCATGTTATTCATGTGCCAGCGACAAGTCATCCCTCCAGTCACCAGAAGATGCACAGTGGTTGGGGATTGCCTTTCGGGTGACAGTCGAATTGATTGCATTGCTGACTAGACAGTTCACTTTAATTTAACAAATGCACTTGGCAGCATATGTAGATTATGCGGAAGCTTTATTGTATATTTCCTATATTTTTGTTGAATATTTTGAGTGCTCCTCTCATATAATTATGTACTATAACCAAACTTTAAGAAACTTTTAATCAGATATATAGAAATAAAAATGGACTACCTGGAAATTCTTTGTAAATAAACTCTTTAAGTAGATAAGTTTTTACTATATTCATTTTAAGAAACAGAGATTATTTAAATATATTTTATGAACATTCGTAAATTATAGTGTATATGTATTATTATATACTATATTTAAAAGATTAAAGAGCGCCTCCAATTTTTCTAACTATTATTATTTTTTCTGCTTGTTCTGGAACAGTAGAAGCCTAGATTATTCAACTATAATGTATAAAAATTCGTACACTATAGTTTATATATATGTATTATACATAACTATATCTTAAAGATTACAGAGCATCTCAATTTTCCTAGCCATTACTACATATTTTCTTCTGCTTCTTCTGGTACAGTAATCAATTTAATATTTGCCCATTTCCACTTAATGCCTCCACACATTTCTGTTATTTATGTTGGTGGACTATTACATGCGTCGCCCACTGTGCGATGTCATAAAAATTGTCTCATTAATCATCGCACGACATGCCTCGAACTCGGGGGACTCCCGTCCCACACCAATTTCTTGGGCTCGCGCGTTCGTGATGTTCAGCAACTCAAGGGGCTATTTCTGTACTGTTTGCAGGAAACATGGACTTAGTGTGAAAATCCAGCGAGCAATTAAAGTGGCTGCTCCACTCGATGCGTCGCAGTCCCCAGTTTCACTCCATTTACATTTCCACATCCACAGATCCACGACTTCAGACTCCAGACCTCGAACAAGTGCAGGCAGCATAAATCAAAGGAGTTTTTCCCCCTCATCGGAAAAGCGCTGGTTTTATTTTTACTGGCGTGGCATTTTAAATTGTCTGCGCCATATTTAAAATAGCAACTAATTAATTTATTTTTTTCACGCCCCGGCTGGGAAGTGCGCATTAATAAACAATTAAGTCGTTTTAATTGCAGTTCGCCTTGTGGATTATAAATTTCCGAGTGGAAATCGCCCCTCTGGCAGCCAAGCATCCCGAGACCCGGGCACCTATAATGGGGCCGAAGCTCGAAACTAAATTCGTTTATTATTGATCAGTTTGGGGGCCATAAGCTGCTTAACTTGGCCGGGTGCCCAGGCCACCCGTGGAGCCGGCTCATTTCCCCGGGAATCAGGTGTTCGTGCCTGCTGAGAGGCACTTGGCCAATTCCTGGAAAATTTGCTGCTCACTTTGCTAAGCTGAAAGTCTGCCACACACTCTGCGAAGCACACATGGTCCATGGCCTCGGCAATTAACTTTGTAAAGTAAAGCCCTTGTATATATTACTTCCAACTCGAATTTCCTCTGAGTAATATACGAGTCTAAGGACATCTTTAAGAAATGTTGTATCAAAACATCTTATTAACTTTCAGGACCTTGTAGAGAATTCTTCTGCCAAAAATCAACCACCCAATATTAGCTCGAGTGTTGGAATTTTAATGTCTTCATTGATTCACAGTGGTTGGGGGAATCATCATTCATTTACATACCTTTCAAGAGCTTTTCGCACAGTTTGAGGATCTGCAAGTGGAAAACAAGAAAGTTCATTTTAATAAAATAATTAATTCAAAGGAACGTCTTCTTCAATTCACCCAGTGCTGACAGTCTCTCTTTTTCTTTCAGCATAAATTTTAGCAGTGGCGGAAAAACATTCGCTGGCATCTTGGCCAAGTTAATATGATGGGACACGTTAAGCAGGCTTGAATGATGTGTATCAAGGACGAGCGGCAAAAAACTACCAACTGTGTCAGCAAAAAAAAGGAAAAGCCGAACAACAACGGAAAAGCAACTCAGTGCAGTGTCTGGTTGGAAAACTGAACAACAAAAAAGAGAAAGGACAGGACGATGCTGTGGCTGAGGCTGAGGCCGAGAGGAAAACAAAATGGGAATGACGATAGACATTGAACACGAAAAGGGAAAATGGAGCGAAGACATTAGCCTGGAATGACAGCAGCAAGATGCGAGATAGACACTTGGCTTATATCAGTCCTGTTCTACTCTGGTCTTCGTCCTTTCCGCAACTTGTCCCCCTTTTCTTCCCTGGGCTAACAATAGCAACTTGCAACCGAAAGGCGTCAAAAGTGCGTGCAGCAAATTGAGGCAAACTCCGGCGAACAACAAATGCCAATTGACTGACAGCCGTACGAATGCTTTCAATGGAAATTCGGCAAAGCAGAAAGCCGTTGACTTTCTAAACAATTTTTGTGAAAAGCATTCTAGTGAATATAAAGAAAATAGGGAATGCATTACCTAATGAAATATTCTTAGCGGTCGGTTTAGGGATGAATGCTTTTTAAGAAACTAAACAGGAAGTTTGAAAGTATAAATAATGATAGTAATAATATCGATTAAATTACCTAGAATACAAATATTTTAGATTTTCTTTGCAGTACACAAAATTAAGAAGCTAATGACTGCTAAAAGTCATATATATCTTACCAAAATCTTAATCAAAAATGAATAAAACATTGATTTCAGTTAATGAATAAGTTTGTCTTCGAATAGTTTTTTAACTATATATACTATATAACAACATTTATAATCGAAGCTTTTCCTATGTGGCCTTCGATTTCCACTTTCCTTATATTATAAAGAATACAATGTAATCGACTTTTTGCACCAAACTTTCAGCCTCATTTAAACCTTTCAGCAGTGCAGTCTTTCGTTCCTTTTTTTTCTTTTTGTTGAGAGTGTGCCAAAGCTGGAGTCTTAGTAAGCAATCTGTAACATGTTGCCAGTTTGAGTTTTCTATTGAAAAGCGTTTTCCGTTTTTCCAGCCCAAGGACAGCTGGCTTGGCCTACATCCCTGCATTCGCATTCGCATTCTCATTCACATCCACGCACACACTCACACACACACACCCAAAGGACTTATTCATCGCTCACTCACTTAGTCAGCGTGCCGCCCAAGGATCGATGGAAATGTGGCAGGACGGGGCAATGAGGGGCAGAGTTCAGTCGAAGACGCTTGCTCCGACGAGTCCTTCTCCTTCTCATTGCTGGGCAAATACAACGCCAGCCAGCAGCTGGCTCAGGCTTTTATTTTCCATTTCTAGCTGAGCCCTAAGTGCAGATAGAGAAAATGCCTTTCATGCCGCTGCTTTAGTTTAAATATTTATGTAAGCGCGGCATTTCATGGGAATATTTCCCTATTACCGGCAGACTCGTTCACAAGTATTTTGCTTTTCTTAATATTGAAATAGGTTCTCGGAGTGGGGTTGAAGGGAGTCTAGGCCAAGTACTTTTCCGCATCTGCACTGCAGTTTGGCAAGTCCCCTTAGGCTATTAAATTTATAAGATTTTGAGCAAATTATGCAGCTTATCCTTTGATTTTGAATTCTAATGACGTGCTTAGATTTCTTTTAAGTCTCATTTGAAATACTTCTAAATATCTCCTAAGATACTTTGATAAAGCAATATAAAATCCAGCCATTCAGCTTCAACTTATGTAGGACTGATTCATATATATATTTTAATAAAGAACCAGCAAAGGTTTCTAAAGAAACCACTACAAAACTCACTCAACTTCATATAAAGTCATTGAGACGATAAGTACCCTATGTTCTGGCTTCCACAGGTGAGTTTAACTTGCCTTCAAATTAATTCTCCAGCCACTTGCTTTAAACTCCTTTTACACACACACACAGCTCTCTGCATCCGAATTCAAATGTATTTATATCAATTTACTCACTTCAGTGCCGACCTGACAGACAAAGACAACACAGATCTCGTGGTTGGGCAATTTTTCAACAGATAAAATCAAGACCGAACAAATCAAATCAAATGCAGACAACAGCACAAAAATGTTACAACTAAGGCACACACACGTGTGTGCGGTGGCAACTAAAGAACTGTAGGAAACAGCAATAACAGCAAACAACAAAAGTAAATTAATAGAAAACAATAACAATTCCCTTTATTATTATTACTGCAGTGAGTCGAGGGCAGACATCGAAGTGAGTTCTCTGGGAGAGATTCGAATTTGTTTTGCCTGCCGTTTGCCGTTGCCAGTTTTGTTGTTGTTCTGTAAATGCCCAAGTTTCTGGCTCCTAAAGTGTCTGTGGCGTTGGCTGTGGGCTGTGCATGTGATTTACACAACGGTATGTAAGTAAAATACAAATCATGTTCTTTGCGTTCGTCCTTGCCCCGAAAAGTGAGCTACACTCTTTGACGTCGGCCCACGGGGCGGATGCGTGACGTGGTAATATCTGAGCCTTGTCCCTGGCAAATGGTTGAGTTTTCTTTAGCTTCCCGTGTATTTTTCTTCATTCTTAAGACAACAATAGCAGCCAACGAATCAGGCTAAATGGAAAAAGTATCAAGGAAACTCTTACGAACAAAATAAATACCCTTTCGATGTAATTGGTGAATAAATACTGAGTGTAGATAGATAAATTTATACTTTACTGATGATCTCCTTTATATAAGATTAAATAAATAATATTTTAATGAGATTTATATACCAACATATGATAAAGAATATTAGTATCTAAGAGAGAACGAAAACTATTCTATAAGTTTTTTAAAAATTTTCCAGGGTAATCTCAATTAACCCATTTGAAAATCCTTCTTTCAGGTATTTTCTTCAAAGAGTTGTTACAGATTTCCTTGAATTTTGGAACCGCATGCGCCCAGCTAATAAAAATTTGGATTTGCATTTTTCTTTAACTCTTGGAAACTGGCACGCATTTAAAATATCTTAAGGATGATTAGGGAAAAATATATACTTTGTATACTTATTTGTGCTCCGGCGTAGCAAAGTTTTTAGAAAAACTTATCACACTCTCAGCAAGCAAGCAGCAAGAGAGAGAGTGAACTGAAACTGGAGAAAGAAAATATCACAACAGGCAAAGTGGGATAAAAGTCTCACAAGCAAAACTTTTCCCAGGTGTTTGAAGGTAAGCGGGAGTGCTGTGCATGGGTGTGTGTATTTTTGTGTTTTGTGGCATTACGTGCATTGCATGTCGAATGTTTGTAACAAAGTCTAAAAAACGTCAAGCACAAACATCGGCAACTTTATCTAAAGTACGAGAACAACAATCCCCCGGCAGCCCCTGCCCGATGTCAGACATTTCATGTTATTTTCCTGCCTGATTGGTGGGCTCCCTTGTTGTCGTGTTGTTTTTGGCCAGATTTCACCTGCTTTAAGCCGAAAACGAAACTGTTTTCGCTGCCATGCGTGCTGTTATTTTGTGTTTTTTTGTTGTCTCGCTTTTTATTTACTTATTTTTTATTTTCGGTTCAGTTCGGCTCGTGTCGTGTTTTGCCACCTTGCAAATGGCTCGCCAATGATTTTTAATGCGATTTATAAGCAAGGAGAAAAAAATAAGAGTCGAAAAGGGGAAACATCACAGCCTGCACTTACACCCATGACACGGACACGGACACGGACCCATTCGAGCGGCTTTGGCAACCTTTTTTAAGTGGCTAGCCAATGGAAGTTGGACGGGTTGGGTTTCCGTTTCCGTTACCGGCATTATGTCGCCCCTTCCCCGGCTCCCCGGTGCGGTGTGCGTGTGAGTGTGACTTTATTTAATGCCATTAACGCAAATTGAAAGTTTTACGCCCGCCCATCGGCCATTGCATGCGCAATTGAGTTTTTCGGGTCTCCGACTCGCAATGCGCTCTTTATGACGTTTCATGGGATGGAAATGGCTCCGAGTTTTCCAGAATTTTTTGGGCGCATAAAAGAAAATCCTTTGGCCCATTCAGTGCGTTGTATAAATTCACTTGCGTCACTCATTATCCGAACACTCGTTAGCAAATCCCCTCACGAGCCGCGTAATAGTGCTGCGTGTGTGTGTGTCATGGAAAAACTAGCCGCTGCCATTCATAGTTTCTATAGCCACTCCATGGCCCAAAACCAAGGACGAGGAGATCTGGCTTTATTGCCAACACTTTGTCGCGACTATGGAGCACCCATTACAACTACTTAGGGGCATGTAAATAACACTGAAATAAGCCAAGGCGACTTATAAGCAGCGCAAGAACAAGTCTGCAGTAAGGTGCTACACCTGGCCAAAACCCCACCCCTCTCTCTGCTTTCCAACCCCCGCCGCAGAGCATTAACATAATCGTCACCGTTATGCGCTACGTGTGCATAATGGCGGAGTGCAAGGCAAAGGAGGAGCTCAAGCAGATAGGGACACGAACACGACATATGGGACAAGGGGGGATAAACTATGTTAAGTGCGCTGACATTGTGATATATAGTGGGCTCTCACTACCCTCGAGTGGAAAACGGGGTACGATGACTGTTACTTCAAGGGCTGCCTTTGATTAAGTTAGTTTTTAAAAGGGTAAGTAGCAGGAAAGAGAAGATATTTCTTAGTTAAAATTAGGTAGAAGTACAGAAAACTGAAAACTAGGTAATAGAGAGACCCTAATTAAGATAGTAAATACAGTTAAGGTAATAATTAATACATACCAAGCACTAAGAAAAACTAATCGTTATGCTTTATAGATTTAATATTTCCCCAAAACTCAGCTAACTTTCTGTACTTACGACACATTTCTTTTGG